GACCCCCAAAGGGGTCGTGACCCACAGGTTGAGAACCGTTGCTCTAGGCAAAGACCTTTGTCTGGTCAGCATCTGTTTCCTGGTTCCTTTGGAGATTTCAAAGGAATTTGCCACCCATCTTCCCTCCTTTCTGCTCTTGCATCTCAGAAGAGATTGATACAAGACAAACTTTACTCTCCTCCAATTCATTAGCCTGAGAAAGACAACCTACTTCCCATTGAGGTTGTAGCCACAAACCAGGGCTGGGTTTTTACAGCACATCTGGGAGAGATACAGTTCATCTAAGGGGCAATGACTTTAGGATTCAGGGTCTGTGGTGTCCTTACTCTCCTGGTCCTCAGAAGTGAGTAATGGCCCTGAGGGTGCTGATGGGGGCCCTGGAGGAGGTGGAGATGATGGGCAAGGGGGTGTCTTTCCGGAAAGGGTACCTCTTTGATCAGCTGTTTACTTCGTAGATTGCTCCGCCCGAAACACCAGACTCCAAAGTTCGAATGGTCATCATCACTGGACCCCCAGAGGCTCAATTTAAGGTTTGTAGCTCTCTGTTTTTCCAAGCTGGATACTTCGGGATGGGAGTGCCTGAAGGGCTAAAGCAGTTTCTCATGAATTGCCAAACCCGGGTCAGACCAGTTAAGCCTTCCTTGCAGGATACATGGCCCACGGAGCTGCTTTCAAATTGGCATCAAGCGGTCAACTTCCACTCCCTTCTTTAATTCCTGAAGATCAACAGAAACATGGGACGAAAGGAAAAGGAAGTCTGAGGGCTCTGCCTTCACTTTCCCTAAGTTTCCAAGGAAGGCCTTGCGTGTCAAATGCTCTTCTTGGCGCTCTGTCCCTACTGGGTCCTTACTTAGTTTCTTGTGATTCGCCAACCTAAGACCTACTAGTGAGCTCAACCCAGCCTAGGTGAGGACACAGAAATGGGGCAGCTCTCGAGGCTGTTGGGCAGCATTAGACCTGCCCTCTAAGTGACTTGATTAGTTCCTATTCTGCACCTTGACTTCTTGTCAGGGTCATGTTCAAATCAATGCAAGCATCCCTGACTTCAGAAGACTTCTTCATAGTTGTCCTTGGGCAAATAGATACTCTTAGCTTACAATACTCCCTACCTTGCTTATCTTTACCCATTGCCTGTCTTAGATGGTTACTCTACCTAGGGTGGGAGGTAGAGCTAGGGGCCAGAAGAAGGATGGCTAGAGACTGGGGCTCTGTGTTTCAGGTGGTTCCTCGTCCCCTCTTGTCAGTGGATGAACAATCGCTTTATCTTCCCAGGCTCAGGGCAGAATCTATGGCAAACTCAAGGAGGAAAACTTCTTCGGTCCCAAGGAAGAAGTCAAGTTGGAGACCCATATCCGGGTGCCAGCATCAGCAGCCGGCCGGGTCATTGGCAAAGGTGGCAAAACGGTGAGCCATGAGGCTCTGAGCCTCAGCCTCAAAAGCCACCGGCTCTGTCTTGTCCTCTGCTCTGCTCAGCCTCAGGACAGCTCTCTGGGCTGTCGGAGAGTGCCACTTGTACTTGATTTTACTGCTCCTGCAGTTTATACTACCGAGCCACCTGCCTTCTGCCCTCCCTCTTGCCAGCTCCGCCCAGGCTTCTTCCTTTGATGGTACCCTGAGCTTTTCTCTGTTCCTCCCTCAGGTAAATGAGTTGCAGAACTTGACTGCAGCTGAGGTGGTGGTGCCAAGAGAGCAGACCCCTGATGAGAATGACCAGGTCATTGTCAAGATCATCGGGCATTTCTATGCCAGCCAGGTATGTGTGCTGCTGCCTCCGCTTGCAACAGCGACCCAGGGAGCAGAGAGCTGAGTCTGGCCTGGATGACAGCAGCAGGTCTCTCAGCCTCAAACTCCTGCTTCCTTTAGGATTGGTCTTCCCCCTTTCCGGGTGGAGGAATGTGGCGTAGAAATGTTTTATTCACTCTTTAGGCTCTCTAAGAAAACAGATTTGACAACTTCCAATGTTACAGTATTGGTACCAGGGTAGGATTCATTGGGCTAAATGTTGAAGGATGCAAGAAGCATCAGAAGAAGACAGAAAGAATACACAGAGTCACTGGACCAACAAGAATTGGCCAATGTTCAACCATTTCACGAGATAGCGTATTATCAAGAACTGATGGGGTTGAAGGAAGAAGTCATTGGAGAAAAGCCAATGGAAAACCAACCTAAATGTCTCCAAAAACAAATGAAATGTTGGAGATACTCAATCCTCTCTCTCCAAAACGTGGAAGACAGTGACCGGCAAACTGACAGAAAAAGAGTCATACAGGTGCCCATTCCATGGAAAGGTGACTATAGAAATGATCGGCACAAGGTTGCTGATATCATATAGATCTTGTCTGAAAACAGAGCATATCAGACCTGTGCGTGATTGACTATGCAGAGGCATCTGACTATAGGAATCATAACAAATTATGGATAACATTATGAAGAAATCCAAAATACTCAATTGTGCTCATTCAGGGCCTGGACAGAGTCCAAGAGGCAGTTGTTAGAACAGAGCAGGGAGCAGGGGGTGCTGCTTAACTGAAAATCAGGAAAGGCGTGTGTCAGGGCGGGGTCCTTTCACCATCCATCTTCAGTCTACATGCCGACTGAGCAATCCGGGAAGCTGGACTGTATGGCGAATATGGCATCAGGATCTGAGGAGATTCGTTATTGACCTATGGCGATACAACTTGGCTTGCTGAAAATGAACGGTGCTTGAAGAACTTACAGTTGGAGATCAAGGACGATAGCTTTTTATGACGGATAATTCTGCAGTATAAAGAAAACAAAAATCACAACAACTGTCCCGATAGACAACATCGTGATAAATAGAGGAAATAATATGAGCGAGGAATTTGTTTTGCTTAGATCACAATCCACACCGTAGAAACAACCATCAAAAAGTCAAGTGACGCCTTGCTTGGGGCAAAGACCTGCTGTTGAAAGGGTTCAAAAGGAACAATGTCACTTTGAAGGATAAAGCACACTGGATCCAAGTCTTAGTATTTTCAGTTGCTTCATATGTGTGCAAGATGCAAAAGCTGGGTAGTGAGTAAGACAGACGGAGGGATGCCTTTGAATGTGGTTGGTGGTGAAGACTGCGGAGTGTTCCAGACTGCCAGAAGAGGCAGCAATCTGTCTCAGAAGCAGTACAACCAGAATTATTCTCATACTTCATCTCAGATGCTTTGGGCCTGTTATCAGGAGGGCCAGGTCCCTGGAGAAGGACACCAGGCTTGGAAAATTGGAGGGTAAGTGTAAAAGAAGACTGTTCATGAGCTGGATGGATGGAATGGCTGCAGCAACACGCACAAGCCTGGGAGTGGTGGTGAGGATGGCGTAGGACCAGACAGTGTCCCCTTCTGTACGTAGGATTGCAGAGAATCAGGACTGGCTCCGTGACACCTAGCAGCAGTCACATGCCATTCATGGTAGATTAGAAGGTTTGGAAAGAGGAACTGATACCCAGGGCTCAAGCAGAAAATGTTTTGGAAATGATGATCACAACCTATGGACAAGATGCTTGATGCGATTTGATGTATGGCACGTTATACGAGCTGTGGGAGCCCCCAGTAAAATGATGTAAAGCTATGGTCTGGTATGCTTGTGGTTTGTAGTGTGTAAGAAAGGATGTAGAGGGTTTTTGGAGTTACCCATCACCCAGACTTGTTTGTGTAGTCATAACAGTACTCGTAGTAATAATATCCTGCGCTACATTTTTCAACCATGCAGTCCCTTTGTGTTTTAGCACCAAGCAAGGGGATGATTGAGTAGGACCGAATGTAACTGGCAATCCATATTCTTTCTCCATTCTGGTCTAACTTTGTCTAAAATCAAGAACCCCCCCTTGCAGAGGGGTCTCGGGGAGGAGATGAGCCAGTCAGGGTGCGATGTAACAATGATGAGAAATACAACCTTCCTCTAGTTCCTAAGGGTTTCCTCCCCGCTCCCACTACCATGACTCGAATTCTATCTTGCAAGACTGGCTAGACCAGAGGAGGTACACTGGTACAGATAGGAACTGAAAATACAGGGAATCCAGGACGGATGAGCCCTATAGGACCAGTGGTGTGAGTGGCGATACAGGGAGGGTAAAGGGAGAATGGGTAGGAAAGAGGGAACCGATTACATGGAACTGTGTGTGACCTCCTCCCTGGGGGACAGACAACCGAAAAGTGGATGAAGGGAGACGTCGGACAGGGCAAGATATGACAAAATACCCATTTATAAACTATCAAGGGCTCATGCGGGAGCGGGGAGTGGGGAGGGAGGGGAAAACTGACTAAAAACATTCGGCTGTTAAGTGGAGAGGAAATGTTTTGAGAATGATGAGGGCAATGAATGTACAAATGCGCTTTACACAATTGATGTGTGTATGGATTGGGATAACAGTTGTATGAGCCCCTAATAAAATGTTAAAAAAGAAAAAAAAATAAAATAAAAAAAAATATATTAAAAAAAAATAAAATCAAGAACCCAAGCACTCCGTTGTTGGAAAGGATCGTTCTAGTAACTTTATATGAAGTGAAGCCCATTATTTCCCCACCAGTTGCTTTCCCTTGGAAAACTTTGTTAAGAAGGACAGAATAGGGATAGTGACCCTTTGATTGCCCCCGCCCCTCTTGGTCCACCGTTTTGTTAGTCCATACACAGGCATCCTCTCCCCCTTCCTTGGGATATTTGCATCGGTAGTAGTTTTGTGTTGAATTCTCTTAATTTGTGATCATCCGCTGATACAGTACATACGTCTGTCTGGAAATGCTAGGAATTCTGTTTTTGTTTCCGTAGCATGGGTGCCAACGCCTTGAATGGTAAACTTTGTCAAAGTTGACGTTGAATGGGTTTCTCCAACTGTGGCCCTTCACCGGTCTTGCGTCCAGTATTTGCTGTATTATCTGGGGGCTGCTCGGGGTCGATCCCTAACCTTCAGTCTCCTCCTTAGGTTCCTGCTGAGTCCCACGGGCTTCCTGTGTCTGGGTGCGGATGGCCCCACTCCTCCTTTACAAGATATCTCCTTGCCGTTGGAGGTTCTCACTCCCCCTCTCTTTCTTGTGTCTTCCACAGATGGCTCAGCGGAAGATCCGAGACATCCTGGCACAAGTTAAGCAGCAGCACCAGAAGGGACAGAGTAACCAGGCGCAGGCGCGGAGGAAGTGACCGTCCGTCTCCCACCCTGTCAGCCCTAGAACAGGGAGTGGAAGTTGAGTGGGCACACTCAACGCAGGCCTGAGAATGTATGGGAATCAGGGATCTGGGAGCCCGAAGGTAGATCAGGTTTGCCCACTTGGCTTGAGAAAGCCTCTCCAGTGAGGAACCCTGATCTTGGCTCCAAACACCCGATCAATTGAACCCCCCACCCCCCCACCCCACTGTCCACCCTTCGGGATGTCGCCATTGAAACTTAAACTTATCTCAGGGTGCTTTTAAACGTGGATTAAGTCAGTTCTCCAGTCTCCACTGAGGTCAGACCCCAGTGGGAAATGAAATAAAATTCCCTTCGGCCTTTTAGTAGAGGGTGGTTTTGCCTCTTTTCCCAGAAGTCCTTCCACTCTTCTACTTGGTTTGTTTGATTAAAATACGTTTATTCTCCTGCCCTGACATCCCCTTTCCTATAGTCACGTTAATTGCTGTGTCTTTGCTGCTTCTGGGAAACAATGGGGACTAATGCATTGCTCTGCTGACGTGATTGACTCAAGGGGGGAAGACATACCAGTGGTTCGAGTCCCTCTTTTCCTGTCCAACCAAGGAACCGCAAGGAAAAGAGAAAGATGGTTAAGATAGATAATAATAATAATCCACGTTTAAAATGAGTGCCCTTGTGGCTATCTCTTCTATATCACCAGCCTGGAAAATTGGCACAATTAAACTTCCCCCTTCTCTGTTGGCACCCCCTCCACCCCAAGATCCCTGCTTCACTCAAGTTCCTTTAGCCATACGGGTTCCACCCTGTGTCCAGGTTCCCATGGGTGGTACCAAACGCCCAATGGCATAGGGGCTCAGGACTGTCCCTGATTCCCATCCTTCTCAGGCGGATTATATATATTTTTTAAAGTCTATTTTAATGATTGGAGATGAGCACTGGGAAGGGGAGGCTAACTCCCCTTGATAAAGTCTCAGTTCCACAGAGGACTTGAGTAGCCCCAAAGGTTGCCATGGTGCGTGCCCTACCCCCAGCCCATGTGCTCCCGTGAGGGCTGGTTCCCAGAAACAGGGGTTACAGGGCGCTCTCCCCCCGCCCCCCACCATGGCACTCTTCCCTTGGTGGTGGCGGGACTTGGAACCCAACCCTGAGCTCCCGATAGAGCGAAAATCCATCATCTGGCCAATATGAATTGGAGTGTGCTTGCCTCTGCTCCGATCCTAGCCGCATATGTAACCCATGGCTTCTGCCGCCACCGCGAGGCCTTGTGGGAATAATGAAAGAATGTTCGTTATTTCAAATAATGACAAAAGAAACTCGAACTTCCAGCACCGTATGCACAAAGGGGTCCGTACACTTAATTTATTAACTTGCTAGGCGCAGTCAGATCCCACTAGAAGGCCAGCCCTGGGGGGAGCGGCGGCCGTGGGTTAGATGAGGTGAGGCCTCCCCTCCTAAGAGGCTGAATCTCGGTGGGTGTTCGCCAAGTGACGCCCCGCTGGACAGTGCCCTTTCAAGTGTGGGGGAAGGGCGGAGGGGCCCTGGCACGGGCTCCCCTCTCCGACATTGCAACACCAGCAGTACTACCCGCGACCCACGGGAGACGTGGGTGGAGTCAGGCCATGCTGTGCGTGAAGTAAACTACCTCAAGGTATGAAGTTACCTCAGCAAATAGTTTTCCTTTTTTTGTGTGTCCCACCCCTCCCATTTAAAAAAAAAAATAATTCTTTGATGTTTTTTTTTTTTTTTTCCTTTGCGGCTTGCTGATATTTTATATAAAAAAGAGAAAAAAAAAACAAAGCAAAAGAGAAGCTGATAGTCTTGAATATTTTATTTTTTTAATGAAAAGAAAAAAATGAGAAAGTTATGTTTCGTAATTTCTTACAACTTGAGCCAGTAACCTTTTGAGGAGAATAGGCCCAGCAGGGAAGGTGGCAGGGACTGGCGCCTGGGGAAAGGCTGGGACTGAGAGACAGGGGCCGAGCTGTGGGGCCTCAGGACAGAAGGACAGCGTCCCAACAAGGCCCTGGGCCTTCCCGCGCTCTCTCTCTGGTTCAGAGACATCCTGACCAGTCTTTCCCACCCGTGGTGCTGTGGAGATATTTAAAAATACTGCCTCCGTTTTATCGAGGAGAGAAATAATACCTAAAAATAGACTCTTAGACTTCTGTTTCTTTGTCCAAAAATAGGGGAGCCACAATTCCACTCCACGAAGAAAGACCAGGGTGCCCACTCAGCCTCAGACAGGTCCGTCTGCTTTGTCCCTGGACTGCTGCTCATGTTGCTTGGCTTCACCTCAGTGCCATCTTGCTGGGCTTCTTGGTTTCAATCCACAGACCAGGGGGCAAACAGACAGACAACTGCCTCCCACCCCATCTCCCTAGCTTCTTTCAATAGATCCAATTGATCCTAAAAGTGGATCAACCGTAGAGAATTCTCAATTTAGGGTGGTGGGTGGCAAAGAGACAGGCTGTGACACCCGCCTCGATCCGGGGCAGATGGCCGTCTCCCCACGTCATTCCATTTGCACATCCTGAACTGTCTGTACCCCAAAGAAGAGGAAGCAGGGAAGCGTTAAGGGCTGATGTCAGGCCAGTGTCATGAAGCTCCCATCTCTCCTAAGCACAAAAAGGGTCTCCCAGTTGCTTTCCATCCCTGGCTCTCTCGGCTTTATCCCCACAATAAAGCAGATAACATTCAGACATCGGCCATGTAAGGAATTAAAGTGAAGTTCCAGCCGCAAGCGTGCTTTAATATCTGGTTCAAATAATCATCGGAAGAAGAAGGAGGAAAAAAAAAAAGGACATTCCCCACAGTACCTGAAATGCGATTGTTGCAGTGTCCCGTTTCCTCAGAACCTTGCTCCCTTCACACCTGAAGGGTCCCGTCTTTTTCCTTTGGCTGACCCAGCGCTCAGAAGAGACCAGCTTTAGGGAAGGCGTGGCACGGAAATGTCAAACTTAACTTGATTGGATTAGGCAAGGCTCTGCTTGTTGCCTTTCTTTGCAGAAAATTGCAGAAGTTACACTTCAGGAAGCAAAAGGAATGTGGCTTGGTGGGTAAGGGTTAGCAGGAAAAAGCCTTTTGGGTGGGTCCCTCTGTGACCCACACGGTAGGAGGTCTTGGGGGTATCCCCTGGCCGCCTGCACAGTTCCTCCATTTCCTTGGTGAGATCCCAGCTACAGCGAGAAGCACTTGGGAGATTTGGATGATAGGATTTGAGAAAAGTGACTTTGGAGAAAAAAAAATGTTTGAAACCACTTCTGTACTCTTAAGATGTGTGTGTGTATATATATGTGTGTGTGAGTGACATATATATTTCCAAGAAAGGACCATCTCTTCGGCTAGTTTTGATTTTTGTTTTTGATTCTTTGAAACACAAAAAACCAAAATGGTTTGATTCACCAACTTGCTTTGAAGCGGCACCTGCCATTTACACCCCAGAGGGCTTTAATCCCCTCCAGGGTCCGGTGGCCTTTTTTCAGTTTGGGTTGTGGGCTCCTCTCCCGTCGAGGGGGTCTGGGTAGGAGACAGCCATTTGGACGGACAGAGAGTTAGATCACCCTTCCTCTCTTTCCTCCCCTCCTTCCAGTCTTTACACATCTTTTGCTCTTTCCCGAGCGCGCCCCTCTGGGGCAGCTGGGAGCTCTTCTCTTACTTATGCCTTACGATTGGCAGAAAGACACCACGTAAAACCCAGAGACCACTGGAGGGGACCGCTCCAGCTGGCTCTACATGTCCGTTTTCCTCTGTGCCAAAGACAGACAGACAGGCAGGCAGGCAGAGGCTGAGAGGAGGCAGTTTCTGAGTTCAAAGCAATCACTCTTTTGACATGTACCTGAGCTGTCTAAGAGGGGGGTGCTCCCGACAGCAGTGAACTAAAGGCAAGTCCCTTCACTTTTGAGGCTCCTGGGGGACTTGGAAATGGTACTTGCCAAGGGGTAGGGAGCTGAGAAAGGGGTCCTGGTTGCACTTTGGGCGAAGGAGGGTGAGTTCGGGGCCCCATGTAGTCAAGTTCCTCCTTGTGGGATTGCCCTCAATCCCCTGCCTCCACTGTAGAGATAGCACCTCGGGGGCTTCCCCTGAGGCCTGGCAGACTAGCAGTGAGGAGGGGTATCAGTTAGCTTTCAAGGGTGCCTTCCCCTCCTCCCACCCCAGAGAGACCCCTCTGCCAGAGGGGAAAGAGCAGCGCTATTTAACTACCTCAGGCCCCGTGGAAGCACTGGAGGATTCCGCTTCACAAGAGAAGCTGGCACCCCTCCTCCCCTCCAGCGAAGTGGGGAGACCATTTCTTCTCTGGAAGTATTGATGGGGACATGCTAGTGGCTTGGACATTTCAACCATGCATTTAACAGGTTGGCCTGTTTGCTGAAAAACCGGTGGAAGGAAAGCAGCCTGACACAATACTTGCAGGAAGGTTGGGGGGAAAGCCTAGTGATGCCAGGGGAGACGGAAAAGCCATTTCCCTCCCACGAGTCTCTCCCGTAGGTGCAGGATGTTTCTCTTGAATTCAGGCTTAGATGAGACCAGCGAAACACGTCGCTTTCTTTCCTTTGGGGACCTCAGGGTTCTCTGTGGGGTACAGGGCAGGGAGGAGGTTGAGAGGGTGAGGGCAAGAACCCTGACCCTGTGTCTCCATGGGGCCCATACTGCCCCCTCCCCCAGTATGGTTGAATCCGGACTGACGAGACAAAAGAAAGAATTTTTATTTTTCCTTGAATGAAATAGCAGGAAGCTCCATGGGAGCGTGTGTTTTGAGTAACCACAGGTAATGAATGCTACGAGTATAAATGGATTAACTACCTCAATCCGTACAATAAAATCGGAACCCAGGCCAGGGACTCAGGCTTAAGGGTATGAATCCCATAGAACGAATCCCAGCCGGGAGCTGTGAGTTGAGACGTGTATCCCAAAAGGCTTGTCGTCAGGGGACAGGCAAACCTGCCAGGACACCCCCTCCCCCACCCCATCGGATGGGTCAGGAGGACTGGCCATCAGGTCTCCCGTCTGCCTTCCT